CGGCGATGGAGACGGTCGAGCGACAACATGCGAGAGTCTCACAGGCGATGGAGACGGTGGAGGTCGCCGGCGATGGAGACGGTCGAGCGACAACAGGCGAGAGTCTCACAGGCGATGGAGACGGTSGAGGTCGCCGGCGATGGAGACGGTCGAGCGACAACAACAGGCAAGAGTCTCAACAGGCTATGGAGACGGTCAAGCGACAACAGGCGATAATCGAAGTTGTGGGAGGTCGCCGGCGATGGAGACGGTCACTACCGGAGACGGGGACAGAGATGGTGGAGGCTACCGGAGACGGGGACGGAGATGGTGGAGGCTACCGGAGACGGGAACGGAGATGGTGGAGGCTACCGGAGACGGAGCGACGTGCGTGAAGAGAGGGTTGGGAAGAAGGGGTGGGAAGGGTAATCTTGGAAAAAATAGAAGTCTGAATGGTTGAGTGAACCATTGGATGCAAAATGGTTAAGAGCCATATGTAACCATTAAGAGACTGTTTTTTTTTTTGCCAAACGGTCCTAACCTCTGACCGATTAAGAGGCTCCCTCTTAATGTCACCATTAAGAGGGAAACAAACAGCCCCTAAGTAAGAATTTCTACTTTTGGTGATGTTTCATTGATTTTTTTGAATTATTTTAAGATGTCAATTTTAATCCTTGAAGAATTAGAAGCTTGTCGTTCCACCCCCTTCTGTGTGTCTTCAACACCATCCCTGTCGTTCATTCTCTTTCCAGGAAACTGCAATCTATTTTTAGATTTCTTTTGGATCTCTCTCCCTACAGATTCCAGAGACGCACAAACTCTCTCTCTCTCTCTCTCTCTCTCTCTCTCTCTCTCTCGTCTTGCATGTTCTTTCATAACCTTTTTTCTAATTAATAATCCTCCGCAATCTTGCATATTTTTCACTAAATTCCGCCCTTTACACCAAAACCCGTATCAAATATTTGGATAATTTCCCCCTCACGTATTCTGATTTATCCTAATTACACCGATTGGTATCTAGGAGATTAGGGTTTTCGGTTTTCATGGTGTAGGAAAACAATGAATTGAAGCTCAAATTTCTAGAATTTGATACCCCATATTCCCAATTTCATCGACATTTTATCTGGGTTAGGGCTTTCTGTTCGGGAAATTTTATATCCGGAAGAACATTGAGGTAAGTTTTGATTAAATTTAGGGTCAAGGAGTTTTGCAATCATAAGAAAATATTGCTCTTCTTTTTCGTGACTTAACTCTCTTACCGTGTTTCGACGGTTTATAAAAATAGAAAATGGACAAGTACGAGCTTGTGAAGGATATAGGGTCTGGAAATTTTGGCGTTGCAAGGTTGATGAGGAACAAGGTTACCAAAGAGCTTGTTGCTATGAAATATATAGAAAGAGGGCATAAGGTATAAACGATTTTCCTAAAATTCTTAGTATTATTTTATTAATTTAATGTTGTTTTATTCAAATTGGTAGGTTTTGCAAGTTAGAATTGCTCAAGGATACTTCTAATTGTTAACATGAATTCGTCTGTATTTGATTATATATAATGCCCACTTGTGATTTCATTATACATCTAATATTGAAGTCATTTGTTTCTGTTTGATTTGTTTGAATATCGGCCTATAGGCTGAATTGCAAGAGGGTATGTACATATATTCTTTTTTGGTTGTAGATTGATGAGAATGTTGCTCGAGAGATTATAAATCACAGATCACTTCGACACCCGAATATAATTCGGTTTAGAGAGGCAAGTAGTCTTCTTCCTTTGTTTCTTCCCATCGATATTTACCATTGGTTTCATCATAACCTTTGCCTCATTCGCGTGGAGATAAATGACATAATCACTCATTGTTATTATTACAAATTATTAACTTCATTGATTTTGGTCAACAAGGACCCTCTATCATGCCATTGTTCAAGGGAATTTGCAGAATTTGACTAATCGTCAAACGCTTCCATTAAACTATGTGCCCAAAAGTTGCATGTAACTATTATAAGATTCTGGATCATAAGCTTATAATCACGGTGGTGTTTCTATAGGTGGTACTGACTCCCACCCACCTTGCCATTGTCATGGAGTATGCCGCAGGAGGGGAGCTTTTTGATAGGATTTGCAATGCTGGAAGATTCAGTGAAGATGAGGTCTAATTTGTTCTAGTACCAATAATTTCTTAACTATTCGGTTGACGCTATTCATCTTCAGCCAGTCCCTTCTCTTTATTGATGCTATCCATCTAAATTTCAGGCTAGATACTTCTTCCAGCAGCTTATCTCAGGAGTTCACTATTGTCATTTCATGGTAAATGTGTCTTTTAGAAGTTGAATGTATGTTCTTTAGCCTTCATCTAATTCAGCCCTTTTGCAGCAAATATGCCATAGAGATTTGAAGCTTGAGAACACTCTTTTAGATGGGAGCCCTGCACCGCGCTTGAAAATTTGTGATTTTGGCTACTCAAAGGTATTCCATCAGTTATTGAGGGTTGAAACTAACTTGTAAACATAAAATTAAGGTCCTGATAGTCATTTAACCTTTTGCAGTCATCTCTGCTTCACTCGAGACCTAAATCCACAGTTGGAACTCCTGCATACATTGCCCCTGAGGTTCTTTCTCGTAGGGAGTATGATGGCAAGGTAAAAAGTTATGTTGTCATATAATTTGTAAACGTTGTTCGGAAAATAATGATTATATGGTTATTTTATATATTCAAATATTGTCAATACGAGCATGTGGTAGGCTTTATATGGGGTTTATTTATGTGTTGATTTTATGCATGTATTTTGGGGTTTTGCCGACTTTTCTGATTTGGGTTTGTTCAGTTGGCTGATGTTTGGTCTTGTGGAGTGACACTTTACGTGATGCTCGTGGGAGCATACCCTTTTGAAGACCAAGAAGATCCAAAAAATTTCAGGAAGACTATTCAAGTAAGCGACTAGATTTTTACTTGACGCAAAGTTTCTTATGTATGCTGACTTTGACTTCTGATTCTCGTTTTGGTAGCGAATAATGGCTGTGCAATACAAGATCCCTGACTACGTTCACATATCTCAAGACTGTAGGCATCTCCTTTCTCGGATATTTGTCGCCAATGCGTCCAGGGTACGTATATATACTGATTTTGTGAATTTAGTAAAGAACTTCAAGTTTTAGCGTTTCAAAACACGCACATTTGACTGAGGATTTCGTCAATCTGGTGGATTGTCTATTTCACATTTTATGGATGCATGCAAATTACAAGTCAGCATCTCTGCTAGCTTTAAATTTGTTCACACTTAAAGTCAGAGTTGAACAATTATTGCAACAACCAAGTTGTACCCTTTTATTCAAACAAGGAAGAAGCAGTTTTTTGCATTTTGTGGTTGAAATGAGCTGCTTTGACTATGATAAAGTCTATTTTCTTTTCGTTTACACATTTCTCTTCATTTTGTGGGTCCCGTCTTTATGTCCGTTTATTACATCTTCTCAGAATACATATACGAGGTCCACAAAACGGTAATTTTAATGAACAACACCAATTATACATGCTTGTTTGGTATGATATGTGTTAGTTTATACGTTTTCCATAATGAAAACGGGACAGATGTTTGAATTTAGGTGTATAACCTCAAATGAGATTTTAATTTCTATGACCACCTCCATAAGCTCGTTTTGCAAAATCAACCTCTGGCTTGTTTTCAAGTTTTTTCGGGGGCAGACTGTTTTAGGCCAGAGGCTAAATGTTTAACATCAGGGGCTGGTCAGATGAAGGTCATTGAGACGAACAAAAAATTTAGAGGGTCATGCTGCTAATTGATAACTCATTTAAGGTCATTTAACCAAAGGACGCTGGATCTTGCTGACTTTATGCGTCTATTTTACTTTGACTTTTGACAACAGAACTTGCATAACGTTTGACTTTCTTTTTTCAATAGAGGATTAGCCTAAAAGATATCAAAAGCCACCCATGGTTCCTGAAGAATCTGCCAAGGGAATTAACGGAAGCAGCTCAAGCAGTGTATTACAGGAAGGAAAACCCGACATTTTCACCACAAAGCGTTGAAGAAATCATGAAAATTGTGGAAGAAGCAAGATCCCCGCCTGCAGCTTCTCGCGCCATTGGAGGGTTTGGGTGGGGTGAGGAAGAAGACGATGATGATAAAGAAGCAGGGGAAAAAGAAGCCGAGGATGATGAAGATGAATACGATAAAAGGGTCAAAGAAGCTCATCAAAGCGGAGAAGTCTGTCTTACCTGATTAAGGTTTCGCTTTTTCCAGTTTGTATAAAAAGCCAATTTTACCTTTGGGGAGCTTAATAATCGATGCGACGATGTCTGTAAATCTCTTATGGCATGTTGCTGTGTGAGATTATTTAGGTGTGTTGATGCTTTTGTATACTTGAATCTGGTTTGGGTCGCTCGGTTTTTCGGAAGCCGGGAATGTCGGTTCTTGGGTAATTAATGTTAGATTGGATTTTTCAAGCTCTTTGTATTGCTAAATGTTATCAAATGTTCGATTTGTTTCAAGGCTCTAATGTGCGAATTTTGTTAATCAGTTTTTGAAACAGGGAACTTCATTATAAGGTAAATTAATGTTAGATCGGGTGTTCGGGTTGTTTGGATTGCGAAATGTTATTAAACGTTCGATACTGTTTCAAGACGAATATGCAACTTCTATTACATGACAAGTCGATAGTCGAATATGGTCTTGGGCCAAGTTTCTAGATGTATGGAGGGTTGTCGATGATGTTAAACCTTAAATCTTAGAGCCACGACAAGATCATGGTGTTTTCCAAAACGTGATTTATCATGGCAAAATATATACATACATATATATAGACTTGGGATCATGTGAGAGCGACCTGTTCCTCATGAGATTTCAAATTCAGGAAAGTCCTTCAAACCAAACATGAGACTGAAATGAAATTGAATTCCAAATACACCGAGCAATTTAAAATTTTATTCTAATTCCATGTTTGGTTTGAGGGATTAAATGGATTTGAAATCCCTAACTTTTATTGAAATTCCACAAACATACGATTTATAAATTTCATGGGAATATTCGGTATTTCATAAATTTTTTGTAAGATTTGTCTATAATAATCTATACTATCTTATAAAGCATTTGGTTAAAACTCTTAAAAACTCTTAAACCCGTTCATCCCTAAACGATTTCATCCCTATCCGATTTCATCCCAT